CAAAACAAGAATGTCAATCCCGCCGTAAAAACCCTCGCGTTCTCACGATCCACGGCCTAATCCCGTTTTCTAGAAACCTTGAACTCCCTCGATGCAAGTATGCCTCCTGCCCAAACCCATAGCATAAAAAAGGGATGTGATAAGAACATGTAGCGACGCACCACTGGGGCGGTCGACTACATCTGGAAGAAAGTAAACACAGTCACCATCCTAGAAGCGCAACTCGTGAACGTGCTCGCCAAAAGGCTGGTGGACGTGATGATGGACATGGTGGCGGACGTGGTGGTCAGTAATTCCCTTGGGGATAGGGAAAGCTTCACCCGGCACATATGCACCCGTGTATTTCGGAGCGTACGGAATGGCCACAACCTCATGCGGGTAACGGCGCGCCTCTCCGGGCACAGTAACTCTCTTCTAAAGGGATCCAGCAACCGCCTCGACACTGTACCACTTGATGTTGGCCCTCTCCTAAAGGGGAGCCTGGAACATGGCCACAGTGGCGCAGAAGTTGTTGCGGTTGTCGGTGTCGAGCGCGGCGCCCTTGCCGTTGACCGTAACCATGTTGATGGCCGCCTTGGTGCTGAGACCAAAGAACTTGACTTCCGAGTTCTCGAGAGAGACCATGTGGTCCTGGCAGTTGTTCTCACCGACACAGACCTGGTCGTAGTTGTTGAAGAAGCTGTACAGGCCGGCACCGTAGATGAGAATGTCCTTGGAGTTGATGGCGCGGACACCCCAGGTACGGGCGCACTTGTCGCTCTGACCGGTGCAGAAAGTCTCAAAGTTGGGGTCGAGGATGGCGTTGTTGACGGTGAAGGGCGTCTTGGCGTCGGGGTTACCCTGGAAGTAGGCCGTCTCGGTCTGGATGTGAGCCATGTAGACGTTGGAGGCGTTGTTGAACTGGTAGTTGTAAAGAACGCTGTGCTCGGAGGCGGTACCCCAGAACCAGGTGCCCTTGGTAGCCTCGCAGAGAACACCACGGCCGTTGTAGATGTTGATCTGGGCCTTGCGGTCGGGAAGATCGAGCTCGTGGTCGGCAACCCACCACCAGGTGTTCTCAAAGTAGCCAGAGGACTCGGCCGTCATGTGAGTGAGAAGGTAGGCACCGATGCACTCAGGGTTGGCGGTCGTGGTGACGTTAGGGTTCTTGGCGCACTTGTCGGACTGGAGCTGGGTTCCGGCACTGCCTCCAATGCGGAAGTGAACATCCCAGAGGCCAGCGGCACCAGGGGTAGAGCCAGCAATGTTGTACTCCATGAGGATGGCACCAGCCTGTGGGCCCTGGGTCTGGACGATGATATCGCTCATCTCAAAAGTACCGACATCGCCAGTCTTACCGATGCGAAGCATGACCTTGGGGTTGGCCTGGTCCTTGAAAGCGGCGCCGTTAGCCATGAGAAGAGGCCAGACCTCGCCAGTGATCTTGATGTCCTTGGGAACCTCGATCGTGTCGGAGATGATGTAGGCACCGTGGTCAAAGTAGACAATATCGTTGGGACCGGCCTTGTTGAACAGAGCCTGGATGGCAGCGGTATCGTCACTCTTGCCGTCACCCTTGCAGCCGTTGGCCTTGGCGCTGAGGAAAGAGCTGGCGGGAACGTTGGCGTACTGGGGCTTGCTGCGGGTGACAACCTTGCCGTCGGAAGCGAGAAGACCGGCGGGCTTGACAATAGCATCCTGAGCAGCCTGAACAGCCTTACCCTGACCGGCAGTACCAGTGTAGGTCTTGCCCTGAACGAAGGATCCAATCTTCTGGTTACCAGCGAGAACGGTGGCCTTGGTGTCGACGATCTGGACGGCGGCGGGGACGTTGGAAGTCATGTCGACGTTGTCGAGGATCAAGCTGCCGTTGGTGGACGAAGACGAAGGGTTGTAGGCAGTCAAAACGCCGACAGGAGTGTTGCTAATGACGCTGTCGAGCAGGAGAACGGAGCCGACAGTCTGCGCGCTGGCACCACCGTTGGACATGTCGATGCCGACGCCGCAGTTGTTGATCTTGAGGTCCTGGAAGGTCCAGAGCCAGTTCCAGTTCATGTAGACGGCCGTCTTGCAGTTGTTGAACGTCATGTTGCGGGTAGTGAACTGCTGCGAGCCCATGAAGGCGCCGTACTTGCCTCCGTTGAAGGTCAGGTCGGTCATGAAGCCTCCGGAGCCGTTGTCGATGAAGATACCCTGCTGAACGTTGGCGTCGCCACCGTCGGTGCGCATGTTGAAGACGATGTTCTGGAGACTGGTGGCCTGAGCAACCTGCCAGTGGATGCCAGCACCGGAGGTGAACGGCATGCCAGTCAGGTCAATGTTGAAGTTGCGGACAAGCTTCCAGAAGTCTAGGAAAGATTAGCTGCTGGTCATCTCAGATTATGTGGGACATCAAGCAAGCACGTACTGTTCTGGTTGGTATGGGCGTTGTTGCCCTGATCGTCGTACGGGTTGGCATCGATGACGGCCATACCGGTGAAGCTAGCAGCGGCCTTGATGGTGGGAAGCTGAGTGGCATCTCCGACCATGTGGGTATAGTACTTCATGACAATCGGCTTGGAGACAACGTAGGTGCCGGCGGGGAAGTAGACGAGAGCGGGAGTGGTGGTCTGAGAGTCACAGCCAAAGCCGCAGCGGTTTCCCTCGTCCATAGCTGCGATGAAGTTAGCATATTATTTCCTTATCCTTCAGGAGGGAGAGAGTGAATCACTTACCAGCCTGGATGGCGACAGTGTCGTCGGTAGAGCCATCACCCTTCGCGCCAAAGTCCTTAACATTGCGAAAGATCTTATAGTTGGCGTCACCAAAGGCGGAAACACCACGGCGCTCAATCGAGGCGACCCAGAAGCCGGCAGCAGCGTCAGGAGTAGCGGCCTGGGGGACCGGAGCAGGGGCGGGAGCGGCGAGAACGTCCGCCGAGAACAGGCGCAAGGCCAGAACGGCGGCCGTAAAGACCGTAGAGAAACCCATTGCGAGGAAGCACAGCCAGCTGTTCGAGGTTCTCTTGTGTTTGGATGGTTGTAATGAAGGTGAAGACTGAGAAGAAGATTGGCGGTTAGCTCTCGGTCTCAACTGAAGTAAGTGGTGTTGAACGAGTTGATGATGGGAGGAAGAAAATTCCAAACAAAACGCAACTTCGAGGTGATGTGGAAGAAGCTCGAGACTGCTCGAGGAAAGTTGTTTCAAGAAAGGAAAGAGTGAAATATTTGTTTTCTTTGACCAAACCGGGGTAATGTGAAAAGTGTGATAGGGTTCAGAAGCCGATGACCCTCAATATCGACATCACGAACCACCCACCCCTTAAGTATGGAGGGCGCGTGAGTGTCAGTGACTAACTGATGACAATCGACTCGCACCGGCCCGCTCTCCACGAACAGCCTTGTTGTCAGTGACTAAAAGGACTGCTGTGCATCACAAGCCTGGATCATGTCCTATTGTTCCCCCTTCAGACGAGACAAGGTCTCTTTCACTCGGCGAGCCCCCCCTCGACCCAGACTGTCCCGGACTCAGGTGACAGGTCCCACGTCACGGTACTCTTGGAGAAAGATACCGTTGCCACCAACCCAAGAAGCCAAGAGGAACTGATATTAAGAGCCGAGACAATAGGCCGGTGGTTCGGGAGGGTGTAGGGAAGAGAAAGACAAGCCACGGGACCGGAATCGAAGAGAAACGGCGTACAACACTCACCAGAGAAAAGGTTGAAAAGTGACAACAGCGGGTGAGGGCCGATCGAGGCTCGGTTTTTTGGTGCAAAGAGTGACTTGGAACAAATCGAAACAGCAGAGGGTGGTGTATTATCCCACCTCTTGGCTTTGGGATACACGCAACGAAAAGAGGGAACGTCGATGGGAGGACGAGGGTGTGAGGTCGAGACAACAGCAGAGGAAGGGAGGGAATACAAACGTAAAAGAGGTTGACGGCGACATGATCGTCTTATATTGACCTTACTTTTTGGGCAGTCCCCTGCCTCGCCGGACGATTTATCGCCATGGTGGTGGCGGCGGCGGCAGTCGGACCTCTCCTCTCAGTCTGAGGCAAAGCAAGGCCCTGGATCCCGGCTCACAACCCCCAAGAGCCGTCCGTCAAAGAAAGGTACGGATACTCAACGACTGGATCTCGGCCTTCTGGGCAGCCAAGCAGGGCCAGTAGGGTTGTATGACCGGGGAAGGGAAACTGAATGATTGAGTGAGAAGGGGGGGATATTGGACGTCCGTGGCCCGCCCGAGCTCGACAAAAAACCTAGCCAACAAGTACAACAGCTAACCTTAGTCCTCTTTCTTTACTACCACCCCTCGTCCAGCCGACTTGCCGCGCTGGATAGGTAATCCTGGCAGAGCACAAAAATGCGATGAAACAAGGATCCAGAGGGGGGCGCTATTGGTTGGGAGGGGATATAGCTTCAAACAGAGCTAGGATGGGGGGGTCGGTACGCTGTGAAGTGTTGCCAGCAGCAGACAGAGTAAGTCAAGCGACGTGCGCGCGAGGCGGGGCGAGGCGAGAGAGTGTGAGAGAGAGAATGAGAGCGACAGACAGACGCAGCGGCAGAAGAGAGAAGCACACGCAAGTAGTTCGGACGAAAAGGCCCTGTCCGGAGCAGTTCAGGGGGTTAGTCAATGCGATGCGACAGCCGCCCCTAGTCCAGTAGTCCGGGTTGGACCACCAGGCCCCCCTTCAACCTGGCGATCTGTCGACCTTGTTCTGGGTATATCCACCGTTGGTGGTGTTCTGGTGGTGAGAGGTTGATTGAATCGCATGCAGGAATAGGTAAACGGCCCAAGGTTTGGTTTCTCAAGGGACTGTCATGATCCCTGCACCGCCTCCGTGTCCCGCATGAAAATGATCTTCCGGGCGAGATCTGTCGGTCCTTGAGGCCTCGCCTTGATGATGGGACGCAGGAACCTGACCACTTGGGCAGCCCATGCAAAGAAAGGAGGCTCCACGTGCAGGGAGAGAGTAAGTAAGCGAAGGCGGAGGATCAGCCAGCCCGCCCCCAAGGAAACTGTAGAACATGTCGTCGACGGCTCATCTACGAGCCATGCTGTGGCTGGAGGAAACAGAACAACAACTCAGTCCAGTCTGTCAGAGAGAGGGAGTCAACTCCACTCCGAATCGGGCAGCTGGTTGAACAGTCAAAGATGAGAAGAAGCAAAGGTCAAAGACAAGACGGAATAACTTGTCCTCTAGTTGCAGAGAGGTCTTTGGTCTCCGAGTACTGCATGCATTCTGTATGGCTCTTGGAGTTTACTCTCCCGTCTTGTTCCCATGTCTCGTGCACAAAGGGGTAAAATACTGCTGTGTAATATCCCGTACCAATATCGGGGAGGGGGAACAAAACAAGACGCCGGCGGCTGTTCTCCCTATTTCGAGGTCCCCCGTTCCCTTTTTTTCGCCTCTTGTGCCCCTGGCTTGGCCACTTTGTGTTCTCTTCCCCACCAAAGCCGCCCCTCCACGGATGAGCAGCAGCAAGGATCATTTCTCCTCCAAGAGCACACACAACAGGGACAAGGGCATGCTCAAAAGGCAGCAGAAGAGCAGCATCGTCACCAAAAGAAGTTCTCGACAGCCGACGTGGAGAGGCCGGGGTAGCTCAGGATCGGGCATAGCGCCGTTTCAAGCCCGTCCACCCTCCACCAGCGGTAGACGCCTTCAGCGAGCACAGCAAGGGCTCAAAGAGAAATGGTTTGATGGGGTTCGCGTCACAGAGCTGGGCGCGTTGCGACCCGATCCCGCAGCGGCACTGGCTATGGTTGTGCGTTGGTGGCCGTTGGTTGGGTGGCAGTTGTTCCTGCGGGAGATGATGAGGACGGGGAGGGTCCAGATGGGCGAGGCGCTTGTGACTCTGTCTAAGGTCTTGACTCTGGGCCATGACCATTTCCCTCTCATGTCCTACATTGTCATTTCAACTACGGTAGCTAGACTCAAAACCTTGGACCGGCGCGTCTGTCTGGAACTCTTCTATGACGGCATCGAAGCGCTCACAAAGAGGTCTCCCATGAAATAGTCAGGTTCCTCGAAGTGGCTGGTCCTGGGCATTGACTCTGTACGACCTGTCAACTGAAGCCAAGCCACATACATGGCGTTCTGTAAGCTTGGGCTACCATCGGCCCCCCTTCAAAGTTTTTCACCCGTGATGCTGCTCATTGTAACCTTGTGATGAGAGACAGTCACCCGGGTCTACTGTCTCCCTCCAGGAATCATCTCTTTCGCCAGAGACTTGCCTATTTTTCTGCTCAATATTGGAAGCTACTGCACTACCACCCCGCAAGGCTCGATGCTCTCGGCCCTTCTCCAGAGCCAAGCGCTGTCACATGAGAAGAAGTTGAGAAAACAGTAACCTGCTCCGTCCGGCGCGTCACTTTCACTTTGAGAAGGTTAATGGTTTGTGGGGAAAAACCATCGCTTCGAGCCTTGTGAGACCCGTCTCGCCCAAAAAGGATGCTGATGGAAAAGCCCATCTATTGATGGGTTATAGTACCACTTCACACGCAGAGTCGGCGCTCGGCACGCCAGTCGGAGGGGATATCCCATCCATCGAGCCCGAAATGCTCCCAGGATCCGTCTGACGATGCCCGCGGTTTACATGCCCCTTGCAGGAGTCATGTCCGCTGTCAACTCGCAAGGACAGGCCCGGGAGAAGTACCTCTGCCGCATTGCTACCAAGTCCGACTACGACTACGAGTTCTACGAGGACCGTCGATGACCAGACATCAGCTGCAGACAATAGCTCGTGCAGGAAGCGACCCTAGCTGGACATCAGTAACTGGACCACATGCAACCGCTGGATCGCCGTACCTGAGTACACCCATGCCGAATGCAACGTTGAAGCCTCGAGAACACATCACTTGCATCAGGCACTCGATATGCTTACTCTTGTTGAACTGTCATGACCTTGCGGACCCAGTCTGAGTTCGCGGGCTTGGTTTCTGGAAGTGCGGATCGTAGATAAACTTTCTATTAGGCTTTGCTGAGACATATCCGTACGATGTAGGTCCGCAATCTTAGTCACTCTGTTCCTGAACTTTGAAGTATCTGTTGATGCAGGAGTCGACATTGGTCCCAAACAAGCACAGCTTCACAACATCCCATCTTTGCCAGCGCAGCCGTTTTGAAACGTCCAAATTACCTTTACTGCTCGCCGTACACCAGCATCGCTTTGTGATTCACTCTTCCCTGGCTGTTCATGTGCGCGCAAACCTCTGAAGCCTTCCTTGAGTACTTTACCTAATAATACTGTGTGTATATGAAGAACGTTGGTACTATTGATACTCAACCTCTCTATTCTACCCAATTGACCAGAGTCATGTCCTCTCCACGGGCCTCCCAACCCACCCGTCAACGCTTGATCGTCCCGCGCGCACTCTATCTGCGCATCGATGATCCTATTCCTGGCCGCTTGACATGTCCGCCGCCAAGCTGTTACGCCCTGCGCCTTGATCTCCCAAATTTCCCCCATGGAAAAAACGGCGAGCATAGCACAAACTGGAAACTCATAGGACACCTGCAACTCAAGAGTACCAAAATACAAGCGACTTGGCGACTCTTGTCGGCGCCCCCTTTTAGACTTTTAGCTGCATGTCACTAGAGTGTAGAGACAGCGTTAGCACAAACCAGGACCACCATGTGCCGCTTGCCGCTACACCACATCTCGTCCCCAGTATTTCTGACGGAAATTAACCTTTATGCGTGAAGGCTAAAGGGACGGTTCTGGGCCCAGAAACTTCAGAAACTTCTCCCTTCTCCCCCCCAAAGGAGACATAACCGGGTTCGCGACAATCCCTTTGGCTGAAAGCCTGCCTCCGCCTGGCTTGGCTTTGGGTTCATTTAGAGCGTAGCTCAATACTCAATATCGTCTCTAAACCGGGTACATCCCAAAATAAGATCTACGGCTGCCGCCTCTAGCCTCCTTTCTGAGGAGCACCTACTGCTCGTTCTCGCGGTCAGGTGGCGCTGCCCATGTTCCCTCCAGTCCACATGGCCCAGGCACACCTTGTGAGTGTTCTACATACTTACTGACTGATTATTGTAACGTATGGTTGGCTTCTCGCGAATCGAATCGTGGAGTCGTGAGACCTGGGGTGAACCCCAACGTTTTCCCCCCTCGAATCCCATCCACCCCATGTCCTCATGGTAGTTTTGCGCCATCATCCACCTCATCCTAGCGTGTCGTGACCCTTTTTCTTCCTCGCAGATCCTCCGCGTCAGTCGGTAGTGCAGATCGTCCCCACGGGACACTCGAACAAGTCTAATTTCCCCATCAGCGTCAAAGCCTCGTGGTCTAGGCCAGCTCCTCTACGGCGTCATTTCACTCTGCAGAGCGGTGATTTCTTGAGGCGCTGGAGGCCTTGTGGTATTGGAGGAGATAAATCTGGAGAGGCAATCCGGGGAAATCTTTACTTGGCGTATGCGCGGAGACCAGGAGATTTCATCCACAGAATGAGACCGAAGCGCTCCCGGGGCCACTGTTCGATCCGGGGGTCGAACAAAAATACCTCCCTGCCTGACGCTGCGGCGGCATCTACACTCCGGCGGCAGGCATCGTGAGATGAAGACAAGACTAGGCAACATGAGACGAACGCATGTAAATGAACTTCCTCACCAGTCACCACAAGGCTCAGGCCCTCTGCTGCCCATCCGGCCCGACCGAGCAACGTCGCATCCGGCACCATCACGGCGGCTCTTGTTGTATGTCCAATGTCCAATATATTTGTGTTTTCCTCTGCTTCTATTGCGTACTTGCCCTTCAGCCCCCAATCATACTCAAACCTGATGTCTGGGGCCGTCGATGCTGAGGGGGGATGGGGTCCGGGGAAGGACAGAAATGGAAGGTCGGTTCGTGATACTCGACTTTCGTTCTGGAACAATCCCTGCTCTTCGGCCCTATTCAGCTTTCATCCTCATCTTGACCTCTGGCAGGATCTTAGGAAATCTTGGAAACCCATGCCTCTCGCTCGAATAGGGCCCGAGACAACTGCCCGAGACAATTTGCGGATAACACAGCTGAAACTGATTTTTTTTTCTCGTTCTTTTATACATGTGACTATTTCCACGATGCTTGTCGCATGCGTATGGGAAGCTGTGGATAGTTGGCCGATGGCTCTTGTTGACCTCGTTGTTCGCGAGACAGCTACACACAATATTTGAGCTCAGCCACTTTACCATCCACAGACCTGCCTACCTTCTCTTCACCATCTTGATGATGTTGGCTTGTAGACCAAACTGGAAGCTGAAAGAGCGGTCCAGAGCCTCAATCTGATGAACCATCTATCAAGCCACTCTTCTTGTCTGAACCAATTTACTTTTCTGTGCATATGGCAGCTGAACACTCCCACGCGTCTTTGTGCTCCCCTCGCCACTAACTACGAGTATCGTTGAGATGAACACCATCCCGCCTTTGCCTAGATACTGATTCTGCTCTTCATCATTGTCATCAGAATCATCAACATCATCATCGCGCCCTTCCAACCCCATCGTCAGATCACTAGACTAATGTCAACCACAGCGGTGGTCAACTACACCAGCAAGTCAAAATCCATCGCTCAGATATACAGATCCCCAAATCTCAAGCACGCAGCCGCCTCGCGGATACCGGAAGGCACGGTCCGTGATCTGTCCAACCCGTCAGTCGCCCTTTGACCGCGACTTTCTCCGTGTGTCAGGTCCGCATTAGGCTGATCTCAATCATCCAATTTTCCCACCAACGTGCTCTCGGACCGTGGGCGGGACGTGGGCAAGTTCAAGACGAGATTGCTCCCGGGCTCGAGTCCGAGGAATAGACGCACTAGGTTCCAGATTTCTTCTCCAACTCTGGACTGCGCAGCTTCCTGAGGCTGTAGGCATGGAGCCAAGCCTGTAGAGGAGCCTCGACATTGAACTCTGCTTCGCATGCGTATGCTTGAAGATCATCTTCATCGTGAAGTTGTATACCGGACAACCATTGCATCTACATCTCACTTGCATCTAGACGTATGCTTTATCCCTCAATTCTCGCGAGATCTACACTTGCAGTAGACGATACCAGTAACATGGACTCGTGCTTGGACACTTCATTCCGGCCGGACGGCACAGGAAAGACCACAAAGAGTAGCACGGTACTCAAAACCTCCATACAAACGTCCCCATCTTCAGCTTCATCCCAATGTCTGGCGCGAAGCACAGATTCATCCATTCCCACCACGCCGATAATCAAACCAAGACGCGCGGTAACCGCCGCACCACACACTCTCGAAACAAGGGAAACAAAGCCATGCAGAGCTGCAAACCAGACCGACCGACCGGCCATCAGATAAAAAGACCCTTTTGAGTCGAAACGAAACGGAACGTCTGATCTTGCTTGCACCGTTCTGAAACCCGAATGGACCAACAGGTATATTGCTACACCGGCCGCGCTTTGATGGGAACGAGGCTCACCCCCGTCCCACCTTGTTTTTCCTGCCTCGTTTGCCCATTGACTTTTCTGTCTGGCACGAAACGTCCGTTTTCTCCGCATTCTGTACCATGAACCCGTCGTCTCATAGCATGGACATAAAGCATGGCAGATCAGTGGCAAAAGTGTCACCTCAAAACTCCCGATCTTCGCAGGACGTCGGAGAAATGGGCCAGGCAGGCGGCAGTTGGTGAGTATCTACGGAAAAATAAGTGATGGCGAAACAGAGTCTATAATGCTTCTATCCAGTAGCCGTCTATGTAACAAAGCCCAGGATGCCATGCAAAACGAAGAAACAAAGTCCAGTCCAAATGTTTGAACGGATCCCAACCCGAATGAAAAGAGACCAAATCTTGCCCAGACACCCGCAATCCCAATGCAAGTGGATGAGTATCCATCATCATCCGATACGCCTCCGTGAGGGTTCTGTTTTCTCCAGAAATTACCTCATCTTTATTTTCGTATAACGTCTATAACTCCGGATCGCCACCGAGTCGTGATGGTCGAATGAAAATGAAGAACAAAAAAAGTCGTCAGTGAGGGCGGTCCAGCCTTGCCGCTCTCGGTATTAGGGTATTACGTAGGTTGTGTGCATCTTTCGTGCCTCTATATGTATCCGCCCTCTATCTCGCAGGTACCGCCGCTGCTCTCAAGTGCCTCGATGCCGGCGACGTCGGCACCAAAGTCCATGATAAGGATCTTG